ACTACCATATTCTATATGATGGACTTTAATTTTGTATGTCCGCTTTCTTACTGCTTTTAAAATCTGTTTATCACTGTATATATTTGCCCCCTTTATTTAACTTTAGGGTAGAAGACGAATTATTTTTTCGCCAAATAAAGTACATGGTTTGTTTAATGCCCTGCCTTGTTAATCGCCTCAAATTTTTAAGACACCCTTCGATATTCCTAGAAAACAATTAGAAAAAACTTTCCTTCTGCGACAGTATTGGCCTAACATGTGCTTTGGACTGTCATAAAACGCACAAACTTTGACAGTGAATGTTCATTATGTCTAAAAAATACAAAATAACCCACAGGTTTGGTCTCCAAAGAAGTGCGAAGATTCTAAAGGCATGGGCATTGGAGAAGATACTAGAATATTACAGCCTTCGAAACTACCTCTCGTAAAATTTTGCGCCGAAGTAACTCTTTTGGACCAAATTTGCCAGTGCTGTGAGATATTTCTAGACAGAATGAGTATTGTGGTGAAGTTATTGGAATTCGCTTTTAATTGATAAAAAATACTTATACATCTTAAAATTATTTCCTGCTCTTGGCTTCTGGCACGAGGCCAATTATCCTGACTTTGAAGGATTGTGGAAATCACAAAAAAGGAAGGGTCAAAAATATACATTTTTTACTTGCAACTTTTCCGCATATTTGCGGTCGTGTTGTTTGCGAATTATGATAATTATGCAGTTTGTGACTGTATATAAAAAGCCAATATTTTGCCGGATAACCAGTTAGAAGACTTCTATACAGACGTCTACAGACTTCTTCAGACTCTCGCAAACAAACAATGAAGGCGTGCGTTCTTATCCTGCATTTGGTTGTTGCTGCCGTTGTCATTGAAGGTAAGCAGGGTTACTCTCTCTGACCACGGGGTACGCTCGTAGTGTGTTAATTACAAAAAATGTTGAAAGCGACCCACAGTGTGATTTTGTGCAGTATTTTACTATCTTAGGGTACACAGCGGGATACAGTAGAGATTTTGGATAACAAACGGCTTACCGTAAGACATGTACATGGGTTACAGATCACACTTGCTTTTTGTATCCGTGCACATAGATTCTTCAAATTGCAGAGACCAGTGCAGGGCCCGGAGTAGCTTCGGCAAGCCTGGCAGCTACATGCACCTGTTGCGGCAATACCTGTTCCGGGACAAGCTGTAGTTGTAATGGCTGTAATTGCGACGGTTCTGACAGTGTGGTAAGTGCTCTTGAATTGTACTATTTCTCTTATTTTTTTTCTTTGTGACTATCTGTGGATGGGTGGGTTGCTTGTGGGGTGGGGGTGTCTGTGCTACAAAAGCATTCCCCTTAATTATCATTGTAACAATTGTAAAAACGGGTCAAATCTAGTCGTGTTCGAACCTCTAAATGCACCAAGGTTTGATGAAACTACCTCGTAGAATGTTACAGTGTATATTGTAAATATTTACATGAGATCAAAGATATGCTTTACGAAATCCCTTTATTTTCAATGTTTTACTTTCAATTTCCAGAGTTATCGGTAGAAATCTAGAGAGTGATGATACAAAGCGGCAATTTTCAGAAGAGCCCATTGTTCTTGGAAGCAATAAAGACTTTTCGCTGAATTATCTCTGCAAGTTTTTAAGCTATCTTCTTATTTACATGACATCTTTTTAAAAAACAAACCCAAAACGCCGAATTTGTTAACCAAAACGAGATAATTTGATTATTCATGTTTGCAAGTAAAATGGAGAAAGAATATAAGTACAATAAATTGTAAAAATAATATCTTTGTTTCTTCTTCTGTTTATAAAAAGTGTGTATAACTCTATAGTTATTCACAGTGTGTATTACTCTATGTGGGAGAGATTGTTTACCAACTCAAAGTACGTTCTACAATTAATTAACCATCCATACCAGTGTTAATGAGATGGTCTTACGGCCTTTTACAGATTTTTCCTACGATTTGCCTGAAATAACATTTAACAGGACTTTCTTATTGTGGAGGGCTAAAGACCTTCTCACAACGAACGTCCTATTTTAGCGATACAGCTGTACCGGTACATTTATAATACGTCACTATCTTATTACTCCACGACGGACTTAGCTTCCTTTTGCACATTCGCTTTAAGCTTGTTTCCCCGGGGGGGGATTTACATGAGGGGTGTTTTTTTAATGAATACCATCAAAGGTATCTTTAAACACTGGTGTCGTCATTCGAGATTTAAAAAAAACTGAGAGAATCCGCGTGAGGCGGGGTTTACCTTTTAGAGCAACACGGGTGGAACTGTACGCGCCGCGATTGTTGTCTCAAACAGACAAAAAAACGCAAAACATGGTGAATAGGCACTGGTTTGCAAAAGACAATAATTATGCAGTACTTAAAAAAAAATACCTTTTTACAGTATGTAAAAATAGTTTAAAAGCTGTGGCAGTGAAATTGGGCCTATTTTTCAGTTACTAGACACCGTTTCTGCATTGTCCATGATTCAGTTCATTCTTAGATTCATGGGGACACAAATTTTTATTCAGGCAAGGTCTGGGTAGGATTAACCACAGAAAGAATGAGATACTGAGCGAGGGTTGTTAGAGAATGGACAGTATTTTTTGGTGCAGCGCGCGGAATATTTTAAAAGTGACCTGATCCCCTAGTAAAGATAAGATACATATATGAAAGTTTAAACTATATATTCTTGCTTGCACTGTCATTTGAAGTCGAAATACAAGAATAAATGGGAGAGGGTAGTTATTCATTACCCACAAAAATATAGTGTCTTTATGTTGTCTAATGACAGAAAACCCCTCGACGATTCCAATCATCGAAGAGACGGGTCATAAATTATTAAAACCGGCAGAAGCGATAATAACCAGCATGTGAGTTACATGCCCTTCATGGTGGCCCTGATCCAGTCAATGTAGTGGGTCACCTTGGTGGTGAGGGCGGGAAGGCCGGCCTGGTTACATTTGGCTGTGCCAGACGCCACCACTCCTGCCAGGTAAAACTGGTCGCCATTTTTTTGACATACCATTGGACCGCCGGAATCACCCTGGTTTGGAAGTGAAAAGTGTATGTTTTTATTTTCTGTCGTTGTTATGTGTTTTATGTGCAATTTCAAAGATTGTTTAGGTCTAAATAACTGCAACAAACAAAGGACAAACCTGTACGTAAGACGATTTTCTCGAACAAAACATGTACAATGTTTTGTTTTTTTTTTTTAATTCTTAAATTTTTTTATTTTTATTTGTTTATCTATTTATTTATTTAAACCCGCAAGTTGAGATTTCTTTTTCTTTCAAGTGACAAAAGTGTTACCTCACTAAAGTTTGCGAAACAAAACTTACTGTGCAAGGCTGACTTATGCCGTTCCCAAAACACAGAGTCCCGGGCCCAGTTTTTCCTGGCCACACCCAGTTACAATAGGTGGCGCTCCAAACCATGCCATTCACCTCCTGCAGGGTTGCGCTATCATCTGCTGTGCCTAGGAGTGGGGTGGAAAAGGGGGAGCGAGAATAGAAAAGAGACGAGCAATGTCATTCTTTTGAAAATTGCAAACTTTTGGTATACTGCTTGGTTGTTAGAGATTGTTTTTTTTAAATAACGGTTTAAGTAATCTTATAAATGATAATTAAACAAGACATTTTAACAAACTACATGGCATGCGCATCGTAATGCAATCTATATCTATTTAGACAATTGTCATTATAAGACAATAAGATACAGAAATGAAAATTAACCGCCAAAGTACTCCCAAAGAGTCTAAAAGCAGGATAGATATACATGTTTATGTCAAACTTGGACCTAAATAGAGAAGGACAAGTAACGCGGAGAAAGATCAAAGGATAATCGGCTTAGCGCGAGCTCTTCGCGAAACGATGTGCGTTCGGATCACGTGACCTCCCGTACAGGTAGCGAGCATATCGCGGCTGTTGATGACTTTTTGTGTCATTTGGACAGGTAGCTGGTGATAACGCGAGGAAAACGTTCTGGTGGATGAGTCAAGACACTTATAGAGATAAAATGTAAGTACAATTTCTTTTGCTATTTTGGATGCTAGATGAGAATAAGGTATGTTTGTTCATGGAGGAATTCAAAATGCCCAATATGGTGAAGGCAATCGTGTTTGTTGCCGTAAAATGAGTGTTTGAAATTGTACAACTGCAGTGTCGAATACTTGTCTTTAGCTATGATCCGATAGAAAAATATTTCTAGTCTCGAAATTTTACCTCTATGTAAAGAATTAGCCTTAGATGGGGCAATAATTTAACCTCAAATCGTGTTTTGAGTTAAAATGACGCAATTCCTCTCCGATTTATTCGACTCGCCGACATTGTTTTAGGTCTGGTATTTTTTTACGTAANAGCTGTTCAGACGCCCGTGGAGCTATCAAAACAGATTATGTGAGACAATAGGCGAATGTTTACCCGAACGCACATAGCTTCAAAGGAAGATGCCGCGTTACTTGTCCTTCTCTAGTTAGGTCCAAGTGTCAAAGGAAAACTCATATGTTCTCCACACGTGCAGAAACATGTTTTACGCCAATAGAAAATCAGAAAATGATGGGTATATATTTGAAGATCATAACTGTCTACTTACCCTTTGTGTCTCCCCACCCCGTCACCCAGCAGTCGTGATTACTTTCAAAGCTGTCCGTTGGCGCCGGGAGACACGCTGGAATGATGTGTGGACTGTACGTGACTTTGCTGCCCAATTTGATCAACGCGATATCATGCTGCCCGCTGTTGTCGTTTTTGTAGTATGGGTACTGGAAGGAGAGCTATTGTGAAATGTTGGTTTAACGAGGGCTTAGCGGACACTCCCTTGTGCTTTCAAATGCAGACATGATTTTGATTTTAAAAACAACCCCTCTCCTTTCACATGCCATTGGTAAATAATATGTTAAATCCTGCATACCCGGTTTTCAAAGTACCGGTACTGAATGGTAATCTTTTTATTTTTATTTTTATTTATTTATTTTTTTTATTGGAGCCGTGACCTCTTTTTGGCTATCATGATTTTAAAATGACAATTATAAGATGTCTCATCTTGAAAAATGCTTTACACAAAAGTAGCTTTTGCCATTTTGAAAAAAAAAATCAAACCGGTATAATTTTTTCCACAAGTTTGTCTGCCTCTGTCTGGTCACTTTTTCCCTGCTGATGATCCCCAAGGCGCACTGAAAACGAGGCCGGTCGGTTAGATCTGCAGGGAGATGAGATGACTATGATTGAGAGATTTTGTTATATCAGTCATTATTATTAAGGGTTACACGTGTGTGTGTGTGGTACTTTGTTTGTTTTTTATTTTACTTTTAATATTTTTCTAAACATAGTTCATACACTGTAGGAAGTCGCATGCTAACGATGATTCTGAGTTAATAAACGTATCGCGTGTATGTCAACCGGATATTATGGGATCGGTTGTTTACGATGAAAGCCAATATCACCAAACACAGTCCATCATAATACCCCAGGTGAGGTTCCGTTCATTGAAAAAGATCTCATTTTAATTAAACAGCTTCTGGTTATTCGGCGTCAAATTAAATTGATACTTTTTTTATAATTTTTTGAGAATATTTGGGAATGGATTCTGAAATGGGTTCCAGAACCTACCTTTCAAAACAGTGTGCCGCAGTGATCACCCAGTTCTCTCCCACCAGCGTTCCTCCACAGTGGTGCTTCCGGTAGTAGCCGTACCTGATGGACACCTGCCAAGGCCACGCCCCAATGGACGCTGTCTGACCATTAACTATCCGCCACTGACCAAGCCTCCGTTTTCCACATTCTAATCGGCAAATAAATAATGTATACAAAGTCGGCTATGTAATATTTCAATCAGTTAAATCTTTAAAGAATAAATCAAAAATTTATTGCCAATTAAGCTAATGTTGCAAAAGGTGAAATATTTTTCAGTGGAATACCACTCAGTACCGAAAAATAATTACTCATATATTTACTTATTTGTTAAGTTTAGATAATAACGTTGGTGGGTCTTTCTTCGACGGTCTGTTTGAATTTAAGCTCGCCTCAAAAACAGTGTTTCTGTACACATTCCCTTTTCTATTGATACTGCAAGTGAGTAGCCAGTGATTGTTAAATTGTGACTATGAAAAAAAATCTTACATAATTAATCATTATCGTTAATTATTTTGGAGAAAAAGATACAGAAATTAACTGTCGCTTACTGTATGTGGATGATGCGTTTATTGTCCGGTTCTTTGAAACAGCGAGAGTGAAAATTTTGGCCACTGGCTTGACACAGCAGACCTCAAGGCGGGATGGACAGAGCCACTGGCCAGTGCTGACCTTTTGGGCGAACATCTGACCTGGACATATCTGGTAGGCGGCCTGGCACGTGCCTCCAAGTTCCTTGGTGCAGAGGCTGTTTGTGGCTAGAGCGTGACGTGTTTCAATTAGTAAACTGTCATTATTAGAGCATATTTCGCACAGTTCATAAAAAAAGCTTTTCTGGCAAAACTAATGCTCAAAACAGATAGCTGAAACATCTGAGGAAGAAAAGCCGCATTCAACCTTAACGATAAATCAGAAGATAAGAAAAACGGAAGTACACAGTTGATTGCACACCGCCTTGTGATAATTTTGTCACCCTTCCCCTCCCACCCCAACCAACACACACACACACACACACGCACACACACACACACACACACACACACGCACGCCGTCAATTGCTGATACGATTACATACCCAACATCTCCATCGCCGGAATAACATATAACCCACATCCCCCTTGTCTCCATGCTTCCCCACCCCCCTCCACCCAATTAAATCACACACGTACCCCCTCATCCCAAACTTATTTAACTTCGTGCCTGTTTTAACTATTCCTGTTTAAACTATACGTGCAAGTTTAAAATTCGGTATATTTTTTTCTTCTTATTTCCATTTATTGATATACAGGAGAAGTAGTAAACAATGAATTACGGGTCAGACCTATCCTCGGTCCCGTGACCTACTCGACGATACGAGAAAATGCGGTCTGGTACCAGCAATTTTGATACCGTACTGAGGATAAACAAAAACAATTCTTGCGTTATTTCCCCTTATTTTTTACAGACAGCAAACGTCATTTACTTACCTCTCAGGCCAGATCCTGCATCTTAACTGCGCCTTATCTTTGAATTTAAAAATAACAGGATATACATGTAGCTTGTTTTCGTTTTAAGAACATTTTAGCATTGACCTACTAAACGAGAAATGTCAGCGCAGGTGTTTTTTTTTTTTTTTTTGTTGTTTGTAAGAGACAAATTGGCGCACGTGCGATGAAATAGACGGGGTAGGGTACCCACTACGAGAGAGAGGATTGGTCAGCTAGATCTCAGTGAGACCATACCGGTAGTCATGTTATCAGTGTGGGATTTGAAAACCACTTCCCTTACACTCTCTCCACACTCCTCAATTTAAAAAATCACTGAACTGTCTCTACCTGTAAACGTTATGCTACAGCGGTGAACTGAAATATTGCTTCTATACTACCAGCTTATTTACATGACATACGGTTAGAAAAATACATTAAACACCGAATATGTCAACATTAACTGACGTGTGAATTAATTGCATTTATTTTTATAGAAATAGAGAAAGATCTCAATAAAACAGTTTAATACAAATACAAATATTTACATGTGTCTGTTTTCTTTCTATTTACAACAATCTGTCCAACACTTTACGTACCAGTGTGTACAGCATGTATTACACACTAAATTAAAGCATGTTTTGGAACTGATTACACACTGCCATCAAATTCAACTAAAAAATATGGAAAATGAGAAGTATAGTGAGCTTTGCACCTTTCTTAAGTTCCTTTGTCTTAATGTAAGCCAGGTTCTCATTTGGAAAACCCATGTCGATCACATTTACATCAAAACTAACCAGGCGATATAATTTATCAGTACTTTAAAGAGAGTGAGGTTTTTGTCTTAGGAGTTCCTGAAAATCCACATGCCGCTTGTCCTTGAAAAATGCTGTGGAAGTGTATCAGAATCTGTCGCCTGTGCACACAAGGGGTAATTGAGGATGAATACCATTTTATATTCCAATGCCCAATGTACAAAACAGACCGAGTCACCTTTTTCAGTAAAACCTCATTCCTAAAAGCTGATTCAAGGCCACCAGACAGTCAATTATGCCATGTATTTAACAGTGCCAACAAAGATACTTTAGTGTCCCTCTCCAACTTTATAATCAAATCATTTAAGAAAAGAAGTGAAGTGGTTGCTCTGCTTGGTAACTCTTAGCATATCCCTTAAAATGTCAGTGTATGGTCCCACTGTTGTGAGAAGTGACTCGGCAGTGGTACTGAACATGGCACAATATTTATATCTGTGTAACTTATTTACTTATATGTCTTATGTAATTGTCATTAATCGTAATTATCAATGTCATCAAGCAGCCATGTAAACAGCTATGTAACGGTGGTTTTAAGTTCTTTAAAAACATATTCTTTTTGTGTAACATGTTTATAGTATGTTTATGGTAAATTTATAATCACACCAAGGTTTATCTCATTGCTTAGATAGAATATTTTATGAGTAATTTTACTAGTACTTATCTTCATTATATAAAGATGGTAATACACTAACTGTATTGTATCGTCATTTGTATATCATATTGTACAAGGTCATGACAATCTATGTACCAGTACAGAAATAAATTGAAAATTGAAATTGTATTGACAAAATGTCAAGCAGATAAATAAAAATCCGTTTAGAAAAGAGATTGTAAGATTCTATGCACAGAAACCTTTTATACAGAGACACTACAACAGGCAAAATTAAATCCAGTGCCTTTACAGAGCGAAAATCTATATTCAATATTTTTTAAAAAAATTCGAAACGAAGTATGCAAAAGCTGAATCACAACTTGTTATAACCAGAACAATGTGTTGCTATAAGTGAGTGCATGTACCGGGCATACTCTTGGGCACATTCAGAAATTCTATATTCCGAAAGTAAAATAAGATTGATAATAATTTTGTCCATTTGGCACTTGCAAACTTAAATGCATAAGCCAAGTTGCCTTGAACTATTTTAAAGATTTTAAATGATTTAGTATTTCAATCACAGAATCTGTCTTTCATATTTGCAGTAGAAGATTATTTATTGTGTTTAAGTTACTTTTATCACAATGTTAGAGAACATGTACGTGTATTTCATAAATGAAAATTATCTAACACAAGCACAAAATATTTCATACCGTTAGCTTACTGCCAACTTGGACGTACACTGTAGGCCTTCATCAGATTGGTGTTAGTAGATGTTGTTTCTCACTTACCGCTAGGTGGTATAGCGGCCAGGACCCTCCCATAAATGTCCGGTAGATCGACCCCCGCTCCACTACTCCCCCCCCCTCCCCCCCGTCCCTATTCATGATTGGTCGTAAGCTAACGCTATGTTTTTCTGCTGCTTGTGTTTTATAATTTTCATTTATGATCCAACTACCAAGCTAATGAACATTTTTGCTCATTTACGCATATAGTCCATCTTTCGGCTTGAAAAATAATGAAAATGTTTCATTAAATTGTCTTACATCAGACTACTGACTAAAAACATGCTTGATACAGGGGTACACGGAAACAGTTATCGAAAAAAAATACCCTTCTTAATTTTCTCAGTAAAAACAGAGACAGGCGAGGGAAAAATCAAATAACGTAGAACTAAGCCAAGTTTCTTCTAAACAGATTGCACAATGGGAGTGCTTTGAAAACATACCGCGCGATGATTTAAAGAATAAGAGGATGTCTTCATCATTTTGTTTTAGGAAAGCACGAACAACGACCATACGAAGAGTTGTCGACGTGCTGGACAATATTACATTTGTCAGAGACAATTAATCACTGTAAATCTGATGTAAAGGATAGGGTAGGGTGCCCAAAAAGAAATGGAGGATTGGTAAAAATCTTTGTTTGACCACAATAACGCCATCATTGTGAAATCTGATAACCAAGATCTTCATGTGTCTTACCACTCACCTCTTTTATACATAAAATAAGATAATTAGTATTCATATCCATATTCCAAAAGGCGAAAGTTCTTTGCAATTTTTAAAAACAACACTGTTATAATATCGGCACGAAATATATCATTCGAGACATCTTCCGGCACTAGTTTCAGGACATGAGGCCATCCCTTATATTTTGAAGAATAGTAGAAAGAGATAAGGTCTGATATAAACATAATTAGTGCTTGGCACGGCTTTATGCAACATTTTCGCATACTTGTTTTATGGACGACTGACAAGTGTATATAAGCTCACTTTTCGTCGGTGAGTCAGTCTGTAAGACATCTACAGGCCGATATATTTGATAGTTGCTGCTCATTCTCTAACGGCTAAAATGAAGACGTGTGTTCTCATCGTGCTTTTGGTTGTTGCGGCTGTTGTCATTGAAGGTACACGAATATGAATTGTAATAACAATAATTGTAAATGCATCGCGGCAAGAGGCTACATGGTTATTATAAGAGAGGGTTTATAATGAAATATTTGTAGTAGATAACACTGGTTGTCTGTATCCGTCCACACACACACACACACACACACACACGCAAACACACACACACACACACACGCACACACGCAAACACACACACACGCACACACGCACGCACACACACGAACACACGAACACACGCACACGCACACACACACACACACACGCACACACTGTGGATTGCATGATCCCAATTTTCTTCAAATTTTAGAGACCACCGCCAGACTCGACGCCACGTGCACCTGTTGCGGCAAAACCTGTTCCGGGTCAAGCTGTAGTTGTGATGACAACTGCAATTGCAGCGCTTCTGATGTCAAAGTAAAAACCGTAAGTATNCCCACACACGCCCACACACACACACACGCACACACTGTGGATTGCATGATCCCAATTTTCTTCAAATTTTAGAGACCACCGCCAGACTCGACGCCACGTGCACCTGTTGCGGCAAAACCTGTTCCGGGTCAAGCTGTAGTTGTGATGACAACTGCAATTGCAGCGCTTCTGATGTCAAAGTAAAAACCGTAAGTATTCTTGAATTGTAGTTATTATTCTTTTTTCTCTCTTTTCGTGTGTCAATATCTGTGTATTGGGACGGGTACTCTCTGAACACATGGTGGACTAGTAGCCTGTTACCAAATTATTGTATTGCTTAATTTAATTTTGTATAACATTTAAAAGCCTCTGATTTCAGAGGGTAGGGATTGGGGGGGGGGGGGGGCGTTTGTCCTACATATACCTTCCACTTTTCCTTGTAATACAATGTAAGTACGGTTCAAATCTCACCATGTTCGAATCTCTGAATGCACCTAAGCTTGATGAAACCATTTCGTACAATACTAAGTTTTAAATAACCATGCAAATCACCTGTGTCTCTGATTATTAATTTTCAGGCATCAAGCTCTGCAGGAGTACAATAAAGACATGATACAAAACTATTGCTGTTGCGGTTGCCCGTAGAGCCATTCTTTATTGGAGAAATATGAAAAATCACTGGACCATCTCTCCTGCAAATTTTCAACAGCGAACTGAAATATTGTTTCTATACTTTCAACTGTAATACATGATATATGATTAGAAAAAATACGGTAACTTGAGTACTGAATATTTCAACAGAAATAGACTTTTGGGCAATACGCATTCATTTTCGAGAAATAAAGAGAGATCCCAATGAAAAAAGCATTTTCTTCTATCTGTTTTCTTTCTGTTTCAAAAAGCTGCCCCTCGCTATTATATTAGTTAACAGCGTGTATTACTTTATGGGGAAGCACGCGTATTAGCTTTACCAAAATCACGAATTGATAAAATGCAAATGTCAATCCGAGGGTTTGATTCGAGGGCTCGTACGCATTTCACAGTATCAGACGCGACACCGCTCTTGCCTAGTACGCGATGTGATCGGGACGATTCTCAGCGGGGTTGAAAAGCATTGCATCACCATTCAAAATTTGTTCAGGGTGTGATAATGTGTAATGCGTACTGACTCACACCTTGAAAACGGGTAGTGTGGTCTGATCTACAGGTGAATTCAGGATCATTCGGTGCCGAGTCTGGTAGTTGGGTAGGCCTGCAGTTGATCAGTGGACTCAATAGATCAAAGACCCACTTGGAAGCGAGGCGAGATTTAATTGCTCTGCCCCTGCTGGGGGGGGGGGCATTATCAAGTGCTCGCCATATTTCATCTGCGTTAGTAAGACGCTCAGCTGGTTGTGTACGCGACCTTAGCTATACTTATGTCAGTATTCGACAAAAGACATTTAGCACAGCTTTCCTATTGTGATAATCTAAGAGGGCATTCACAACAGATGGTCCTTGGATCTACTGATACGCGGATCAAGTATGGCGGACCCTATATGAAAGAAGAGCCGAGCCAATGTGAAAAGGCCTTTACTCTCCTCCAGTTATAATCTCAAAAATAAAAACGTTTTCAGGGGAACAGCGTACTGTCGTGAAACGTTTTTCGCGCGACATTTAACTTATTTTACACTAAATTTTGGTCTCTCGTCAAACATCAATACCACAAAATTAGTCTTTCAATGGGAGCCGAGATATATAGGGGTTAAATCAGACCTGGGATATGGGGCATAATAAAAGCACATGTACATGTCACCTAAACCATAGGCCCCTTATGCCAATTAACAGCGACAATGTACTTTGTCTCAACGGTGACGGCGGTAATTTAAAGAAACACGTATTACAAATATCACTAGCTGTTTCCAATTGAACCAGTACGAAAAAGCTACTAAGTAAGTTAGTAGATCAAAATTAGATAAAAGTCACACCAATATGATAAAAAATCCTCACCTCGAACTTCTGCGTCTGTTCGGCACAGGTTTGAAATACATACAACGCAGACAAAGAACACAAAATGCTGTTCCATTACGCCTCTTCTATTCAGATGTGGCGTAGACGTAAACAGCGGCAAGTCAGCGTACGGTAACCTAGTCCTCAATTCGAAATTATCTTAATCTCCTAAACGTGTAACAGCAAAGGAATTATGATTATGGGAATATGAATTCTAACTGGACACTTGAATCCCAACATTACCATATATCTACTTATTGGCATGATAGTATAGGTTTGGTGAGTTTTGTAACAGGAATGACCATTGGTAGTTTTCCAGGTCAATCCTCGAGTTTGCATGTTCACAAATCAAATATTACGGTCACACTTGTTATATTGCAAGAGGCATCAAAACGATCGTGCGACTTTATAAGGAGGCGCAATACCAAAAAGACCTAGGGTCAGCCTAACAGTTCATGTATGCCATCATTCTTTCGGTGTGTCAAGTTAAACCGTTTTGTTTTGTTATTCTGGTCACCTAAAAATAAGCGTCTGTGAACTCGTTGAAATAACGCGGGCACGTGGGAACTCGACAGGCCGAAAGAGGATTACACAAGCAAATACTCTAACTCCAAGGGCGTTTGGGCTGCCGGTCTTAGTTTTACATTACCAATTTGAACTTCACATCCGGTACGTGCCAACGACTTCATTTTAATGCAGTCTATTTTCAATAAAGAAGATTATCAGTTACGGATGTGAAATTCAGACAGTGACAAGTCCAGGGTGTCACAGTGTTAAAATGACCCCCCCCCCCAAGCTACTGAGGTACCTTTTCCCCATGCTTCGATCCACTCTAAAATTAAGTATGTTGTAACAAGTGAAATTACATCAAACCAAGCTGTTTTTCCATTTCTGTACCTTACACATTACAGTAAAATGTCCTTGGATACTAATTTATTTTCGCGTTGTTTTGCTCGGCAATCTTTCAATTTAACCATGCCCCCACCCCAACCAATAATCCTGAATCCGCCAGTGTTATATTTACCTTTCAGTGTCATTGTATGAGTGGAAAATGTTTAACATTAGATCAATTGGGTTAGTTTAGGTCGAACGAGTTGGATATAGAAGCATACATGTACTTTACACTGTCTAGAAAGTATTCCGTGTTGCCCCGCCCACTTTTCGTTTCAACAAAAGCTGAATATCCCCAACTGTAATTGACCTGAAAATCACGTGAAAATCATGACTGGCGCCAAGGTTTCCCCTAAGAAAAACAAAATATATGCTTGCGTGATAGTTCTAAAAAAGAACCCAGGACAGGGCGCAATGCGATGCGGTTCCTATACCCTCTACCAGGGCGACAGATTGATTTTCCACCGATATTTACAGATATGTCTATAAATAAATAGACAGTCATTTTGGCTCTCAGTCGCCTCACCAAAAAATGTCCACAATAATAACTGCGGCCCTGGTACATGGTACGGTACATATACCTGTTAAGATAACTGCAGTCAGATTCACACACTGTACTGGGTTGATTGTTTGGCAAGGCTCCTCAAGCAGCTGGGGACTAATTAGCTTTCGTCTGGGGCGTGCCGAGTGAAAACTTACATGAAATTTTATGTAAAATTTCACAATGAAAGATCAAAAACTGTATAGCCTTTAGTCGGTAGACTTTAAAAAATTAAACACAAAGAACAAAGAAACAACCACGATAGTCTTTTAAAGTTTGCAAAATGGAATTTGCGAAGTACATGTGTATACGAATGCAGAGTAACAACTTTTTGTCGGACTGGCTATTTACACAAATACTGCTTCATGATCAATAACCGATTTTAAGTTCAAAGCCTTTGTTTATTTTGCGTGGAAAAATAAAACGCATACTATTCAATCTGCTGTTTTGTTGTTGTTGCTTAAAAGCTTCTGCGTTTCTATGAAGAATGATGGTGTGTTCTTTTTTTAGTGCAGTGAGGTAGAACCGTACATTTTGTTGACAAGTCGTTGGAGTCCCAGTGAGAATACATAAGGGGGAGAAGAAAGAATTCCCTAAATTATCTGAGCATTTATCACAAGCATTTATCACAAAAGCAGTAACTTTTGGTAAGTTTATTAAGGCAATTAAGTAGGTTTATAAGTTAATTCCACTTTCTGCAGAATAAGTTATGCACGAGCTACCCCGGTATTTATGTAGCACCCTTTTGATTGAAATGGTATAGTTTATTGCCGAATCAACTTGACATAGGCATATAACCATAAAAAGTATAACATTTGTGGTAGGTGGAGGTGGCAACCACTGTTGACATATTGAAGTACCTAAAAAAGAAAATGAAATACATGTCACTTAAAAGGTGGTTGATTGCCAAAGGGCGAAGTGGGGAAAACAATTTACCAGGTAGTAACACTAGATATGACGTGATCTCGGGCTGTCAACGATAAAATCAATTTAAACCGGTTTAAGTTATACATGTAGCAATTGCGCTATAGTATGCGGGTTTAAGGGCTCAGATATAATTCTATCATATACAATGTTGTTGTATTTCTGAAGTTCCACGAGTGCTGTACGTTAACTCCTAGTAATATTGGGATTATGATTGATCTGTTTGATAATACGCAACGCACAGGTATAGCTTCAGTTAATTTGTTACGTGTGATGGATTTTTTCCCAACCTTGATAATTAAAAATATCGGTGGGGCTTTGGGTGTTATTATTTGGATTATGTTAAAATATGGTACAGCGTCTATAATTCACATTTACCAGTACATGTACTACTGGTATCACTGAACTGAATCCAGTCACTAATATCGCTTTCATTATTCTTCTATTTAGTTACTTCTTAAGGAAATTAACATGAGACAATTTTTAATTATATAACTGTTCAATTTAGCTAAGTGTTTTGTGTTGAAATCTACTGTCACAGTCACATTCTTATATATGTAAATGTATACTTCCCTATCAAAGAGTGTCAACCCTAACGTAATGCGTAAAGTGATACAGAAAAGCATTTCATGAACCAATGTTATTTATTCAACTTCTAAAAGGAATTTTTCATACTATGACATAACTAGTTGTTATGTCATAGTAAAATTAAACCTATGGGTATTCTTGTAGCAATGTATATAAATGCGATAGGGTGACACTGTTTGTTTGCTAGGAGTGTATACAAGCCCCCTCCTTTTTTGCCGGGAAATGTCCCTTCTGGTTAACATTTTATCTAGGTACATGAAGGTTTCATGTTAAAAGGTCCACTTGTTCAGAAATTAGAACCCCCCTTTTTGAACTTGTTGGCTACGACCCTGGTATATACAGTATGTACATTTTTGCGAGTACATGCTGCTGCATAAAATACAATAGATAAAATTCCAATAGTCCATTCTATTCTATGTCGGAGCGTGATCTAAATCCCGACCACGTGACCATAACAAACATCTGACTCTTTTGTCTGTATCCATTCCGAGCAATCAAAACTCAACTTTTTGACTCCCCTTAGTGAGAGACAATCCCTTCCTTAGTTTAGTGAAAAAAAAAGTAAAATGTCGCATTTCTGTTTATTCAAGATAATCAAGAGAAAGAAGGACAAAAAATAAAGTGAAGGCGACTGCTTCAACAAGACTTATGTGCATGTAGTATCAAACCACACAGAGAGGTTTTGTCGGAATGCGCTGCCACATTTAACATAGCGTACATGTGTACCCCGCAGACGAAATATTCATTCAAAGCCAGGCTACAACTGCTACAAGTGTTGATATTGAGCCTACATCAAAGATTGCGTATTTGGCATCAGGGGTATGTATCTTGAAACTCGACGCTTTTTTAAAAAATTAAAATATTGCTTTGACGAGTACTACTTCATTCCAAAACTACTGCTCCCACCATAAAAGACCAAGTTGTTTATAGTGTGCCGTTCGTACCGTTACGTTAGAGACATAATGTGTCCCAATGAAATTTTAGTCTGGTGACGAACGTTTTCTCATAATTGGACTGAAGTAGCCAGATTCATGTTTAAATATGCGAACAATTTTAATTAATCTTTGGTACGTCAGGTTTTATAAAAGTGAACGTTATAAATCGAACACGTAAGGGAGTAGTGTTGTTTGATTGTTATTGAGGATTAAAATTAATCAATAATACAGAATGAATAAAAACTGAACATTTTTGATGACTAGTTTATTACTGACATCATATGCACCGTAGGCCAGGTCATTCCATTTAGTTCTCTTCTCACTTCTCCTTACATACATGTTAGTGTATACTAAAATAGGGGACCTAATCAGAATAATTTGTTTTAAAGATATGCATTGCATCTTGGATGAACCAAAATCCTCATTTTTATATTGATGTAGTTCTACATGTAACTCATATTTGCATACAATTATGTGTCATATGGTTACACTCCTGTGTAAACCGTAACTCTGTTCAAAAGGGAAACAAAATACTGCTGATAACTTGTGTTGTATACTTTCAGACCATACAATCAGCACAACTTCGCTGTTCTCAACGCCAGATACCTTAAGGCTGAAAATTATGAGACGGAGCCTAGTTTTATTAAAATCCTGCCCTGCGGAGGGGAGTCGTATGACGAAGGGTGTAAAGCTTGTTGTGGCGCTTGTGGAGGTAAAATGACTTGGTATGCCGTAATCGCTCTCCCTTTTGTAATGACCTTGGTAAGTGATGCATTCCTACATGTATGCAAATAAATAAGAATTGCGGTTCTTGAATGCTTATGTGTCGGACTAGCTGACAATTTTAGTCTTTTTATCCATTGCAAGTATTTTTTTATTTACTGCGAGCTCTATAAAGACATTAGAGAAGAGCTTTTTATCCCTGCAAATCAAATAGATGAACATTTTAATGCTTTTAATAACTATATGAAAAGTTTATATTTCTTATGCGAAACGACCAAATACAATTTAATACAGCGAAAAAGTTTGATCCATAGACTTAACGATATTGTCACCCTTCGCCCAAAACTCTTTATTTACTGCCTTAGATACATTCTTTTGGGTAATAAGTTAATCTTCATTGTTCAGTGACTAAATTAATTAATATTTACAAACAAGGCATCTTACGTGTGCCGTCATAATCGCGATTTTGAGGTAAAAATTTTTTAAAAAATCGGTCTCTCAGATTTGTCTTTTACCTGAGCACCCACGATCACCGTTTCAACGCCGATTTAATGACACTACTAAACTTAGTACTCCAAAACCATGCCGGCGATATGTCTTAAGTCTTAGTTCAGATTTTATCACTGATAAAGCAAAATAATGCCTTTGCTTAATGAAAATATGAAATTAGGGGCTCAGAACTCCATAACAAAAACATTTAAACCAAAATGACGACATCGGATTGTAGCCTATACGCTCCTGGTGAACTCTGCCAATTTTCGTGATAAAATCTTGTTCAGGGATGAAATTACCCAGCACTCCCCATCCCATTGCTATCTCACCTCAAAATAGAAAGGTGTACGTTAAACTGATGATGAAAGCTTTGAGTTGACTACTCTCTCTCTCTCATACTCACACGCAAATATACTTATTTTGACTAGACTCTGAAGTAGGCATTGTGTTGACCGTGGTCGACTGGCGTAATTTATGTATGTTCCATGCATATATTTCAGCTAGGGGGGTTGAATAGTGGGAGTACCACTCCTTATATCACTATGGTTTGTCTTTGTCTGTTTCTGGCCTGGCAAATAGCATCAATGGTCATCATACTGGTCAACTGGTGGCGGCATTGGTCAGCCTGGTACCTTATAAATGTGGGTCACATTTCACTTTCATGAGACAAAGCATCCTCTTTGTTTTTACTATCTGGTGCTATGATGTAGTAACAATTGTTATCCTTCCGTTTAGCATTCCAGAATTATGAATTGTCGCTGAGTAGGTATGATTTGTTGGTTTTTTCCTGTTTATTTCAACTTTTGTAAAATTACTTAAATGTAAGTTTCTGCTTCAGCATTCATTCATAAGCATTGGCGTTCCAAAGTAAAATCCGAGTCGCATGGGAACGAAACACGCTAACGCCTTGTGTACATATATTATATTCACATTTCTTTTTAACATTATAAACAGATTCATCGGCAACTATCAACGGAAAAAGTGGCGAATTCTTTAAAATCACAGCAAGACAAGTAAACAACTTCTCATTCTTAGGAGTTGCATTGACTTGCGGGCAAATTGATATCTTGCAAGCTAAACTTCTGCATAGGCACGGTAAGTATGTTCTTTTGCTTAGTCCACGTTCCATGGCCAGCCTCAACCCAATCCTAACCTCCACCAGGGGTTTTCTCTAGTTGTTACAAAATTCGGCGTCTTTCATCCACGTTTGTAATAGCAAGAAAAAACTGCGAAATCCCCCTGGTGGAGGTATACCCAGTCCTTCCGTCCACTGAACTTTGCAACTCTCTTTCTCCCTCTTTCTCTCTCTCTTAGTCTCTGTCGTAAACCCTAGGCGTAATTTATAGTCTTACCTGTCACTTTTTATCATTCATGTGATGAATGCCTTTTTTGTTCCATTTACCTGAAGGTCAGTATCAGTGCTCAATTAAAGAGCAAGAAGCCTGCAGTTGATTTTAGAGTGCACAAATAGTTTATGCGAGAGGGCACACTCCTTTGTGCTTCACAGTCATAATAGCTGAAAGGTCTGTATTATCAACATGAACTGCAGATATTTCAGCAGTTCCTAAAAGTGTCGTTACATTTTTCTTACCCTTGTCATATTTTTATTCAACTTTCATTAATTCAGTGTCGGAGATCCATGTGATGTTGTACAACACGTCGTACCACAGCGAACACTTCAAAATTCCGTTACGAAGCCTTTTCCTCATAAGCATCCTTTATATTTCGAGCCTGGTAGTCCACGGCATGTTCTTCCTTCACCCCTTCGATAGCATGGATGTTGACAGTGGAAATATTACGACTGTAGCTCCTTTGATGACGACAACGTATTAACCAGATCACTTTATGTACCGACATAGGCCTATGGCGATAATTCTGTAAATTTTTGAATTATTGCGTTTTAGTTACACATTAGCGCATTCAAGATGTCAGGAAGGGTGTGTGGGTTTTATTACAGTAAAATGTGGTGTATATTTGCTGATTATACCGGGTATGGTAATGATAAAATATGTATCATAAACTGTTATTATTATTATTATTATTTTCTTTAAATTGATTCATGTACATATAGTTTTCAAAAAAAAAAACGACTGTAAATAACGGATGAGTTCCACATTAAGGTTGCGATTGAAACTTACAAAAAATGTCGAATAGAAAAGTATTTCTTGTCTAAATTTACCTTAAGTCTGTGATGTTAGACCAAATATATTTGCTTGGTTCCAAAATACTTCTGGTATTTCAGACATTTTGTTTAGTATAGTTTTTATCGTGTAACTTGTGAAACTATGACTCAAACGTTCATTTATAATGCTAGCTTGAATGCATTCACTAAGATCCACATTTCAGTTCAGTGGTTGACATTTCACTACAATTATTGTCCACATATATATTTGAAAAGTTTTGTTGATTTTCGCTTTATGTACAGTTTGTAAAACTGTTTTTGCGTGCAGAAAAATAGAATTTTAAAAGAAAATTAGCACACTATCCCTGATGTTGCCTGCAGTGTGTCGGTTGTTCACATGGAAGCTTTTAAAGTAATATTTGGGGAATAAAGATCGTATTATAATGCATGTATTTAAAAGATTTTCATAAATGACAAGTTCAAAAAACATCAATGGGAATGAAAAACATTAATATACATTCTTGCTGTTATATGTTAATCTGATAACCAAAAAGTACTTACAGAGTTCCGCCTACAAAACAACTTCGAGAAAAAAGTTACTAAACAAGTAAACCCTTGACTACATAAAAAAGCCATTGACAAAAGAACTTCTTTCCATAGAAAAAACATAGCTAATGAAACCTTACAATGTGTACAAGAATACGGTTGGTGTTAAGTAGAGAGTAATAGTCTCATTCAACGCAATGACCACCTTGCCACAACTGCTGCAATGAATAAGTGTTACCTCCATTACAATGGAAGTTGGCAATATTTTTCCGTCGCTACCGTTAATGAAAATAAAACATATTGTAGAATCGATCAATATAGTCCAATAAAAGGTAATCATATAAATTCTTCTCTCTCTCTCTCTCTCTCTCTCTCTCTCTCTCTTTATATATATATATATATATATGTGTGTGTGTGTGTGTGTGTGTGTGTGTGTGTGTGTGTGTGTACCTCTTCCTGTAGAAACGTCATTTGAGTAACCTTATGTATGCAGAAGGCCCGTTTTAACGTTGAGACTTTGTGATTGTCTTTCGATCCGTCGCAACGCTCAAAACCTGTTTTAGAGCAAATATCACCAAATGTTATTTATTCAACATGTTGTATCGACCGAAGTAAAATAGTCTTTTGAGCCTGCTCAAAAAACACAAAAGGTGTGGCTCACGCGTGTTGTTAACAGGTGAAGGGATCATTACAATGTATGGTTTTGAGAAAAAAATACGTCAAACTTTTTTGTATGTAAAGCAAAAAGCCGGGTGCGAAATCGAGTTTTAAAATTGTTGATGTGTTATAAAAATTGTAATGGAGGTAACACTTATTCATTGCAGCAGTTGTGACAAGGTGGTCATTGCGTTGAATGAGACTATTACTCTTTTATTCTTCTTCATATTAACTCTACCTTGTTCGATTTCTTTATTCAGCAACTTTTGAGTAAAAGAACATCGCTGTCCTTTTTGTGTTTTGAAAGAAGTGCGATCACGTTTCACAGATCGTTAACCATCAAGGTAAAATGCGCGGTAATAATGATTTTTAGTCACCCGGTACTTTCAATGTCAAAGGCGACATACGGCAGGGCTGTGGCATAAACCGGGTTGTTGCTAGATTGAATTGAGATATAGTGTGTTAATATAATCTTATGCTCACTTACGCCATGAGGAACCTGCAATATACTATCGTGAGTTTTCTTCTTTTTTACTGGAGACGGAGTTTAACATCTGCACAAACAACAAATATTCTTTACCCGCATGGCATAAATAACGGAGACGTCACCGCCCCGTTGAGTGACGACGGCAGCACGTCCGCCATACCGCTCTCGTATATCATAATTTAATAGTATAAATGCTGTTGAAATCTTTTAATTAGTGTTTAGTGGTTATATTTTATAGCTAAGCGAGAGAAAATTCAACTAGATGCAGTACAACAGAATTATTAAGTGTCCTACTCAATTGCGCATTTCATTTTTATAACACATCAACAATTTTAAAACTCGATTTCGCACCCGGCTTTTTGCTTTACATACAAAAAAAGTTTGACGTATTTTTTTCTCAAAACCATACATTGTAATGATCCCTTCACCTGTTAACAACACGCGTGAGCCACACCTTTTGTGTTTTTTGAGCAGGCTCAAAAGACCTGAATGCTTCTGCGTTCCCTTTATATATTGATCGGGTCAGACTTTTGTTGTCATAAACGTGGGTTCATTGTTGAATGAGTCGGTGGTCAAAAGGAGGCTGACTACTCTTCTTGGAATATACAGAGGGATTCGAAATGCTTTTTGTTTCTCTAATCATATTCATTTCATTGGACTTTTATTCTTCTTCATATTAACTCTACCTTGTTCGATTTCTTTATTCAGCAACTTTTGAGTAAAAGAACATCGCTGTCCTTTTTGTGTTTTGAAAGAAGTGCGATCACGTTTCACAGATCGTTAACCATCAAGGTAAAATGCGCGGTAATAATGATTTTTAGTCACCTGGTACTTTCAATGTCAAAGGCGACATACGGCAGGGCTGTGGCATAAACCGGGTTGTTGCTAGATTGAATTGAGATATAGTGTGTTAATATAAACTTATGCTCACTTACGCCATGAGGAACCTGCAATATACTATCGTGAGTTTTCTTCTTTTTTACTGGAGACGGAGTTTAACATCTGCACAAACAACAAATATTCTTTACCCGCATGGCATAAATAACGGAGACGTCACCGCCCCGTTGAGTGACGACGGCAGCACGTCCGCCATACCGCTCTCTACAGGTTTTCCATACTTTGACCAACTTCACACCAGGGTTTATGTAAGTTTTACATTTTATCGTTTCTGCCCTAAGAGAAATTTAGGTACACAGTGATTTTTTTTACTTCTTTTTGGTACTTTTGTTTCATGATATATACGTGTAATTAGCTACAGACTGAGCGTGTGTGTGCGTGTGTATTGTAGCTGTTTACTCTTACATGTAGTAGGTAAATGGGAGTATGAAATAGGTTAGGGTATTTATTTTCCACCTAGCGCTGGCCTGATTTCTTTAATAAGATTTCTGATTTCTTTAATAAGACACAGCACCCAAGATAAGAAAAAAATGAAATACATAACAAGTGCAGATATTGAAAGCAACTAAATGACACAAAATGTTGAAGCAGGGTGCATTTTTCACTGTTTTTAGAAGGGGGCAGAGCGGTAAGAGGTATATTTTATATTGGAGAAGTTTCTTCGTTGCACAATATATGTTGTCTGGTATTTATAAACACAGGTGAAATTTTCTTCTTAAGGACTGAAAATAAAATATATCGATTCGCAGTTCAAGTGTGAAATCACGAGTTTGTCGCCTCTTTATCAATTTAATGAATAAATTAATTCACATTATGTTATGTATTTTCATTTGCGCGGTGCAGGTTTTGATTCTTCTCGATAAGCGGTAAAAAAGGTTGTTCATGCTTCAGATATTTATCATTTTCTACAGTGCCATATTTCCACTTAATAAATAAGGCTGGTATCTTATGAATTTTTGTTGTAATTATTGACATGATACGCTGGCTAGTTCAAACTTTTTAAATCAATATCCCAGATTATGGACAGGTGCAATGTGTGGTTTTAAAATAAATTAAAATTTATTTATTCATATATTCGCCTATGTTTGTGTATTTGTTTTAATATATCTGTTTATTTATTCATTTACTTATTCATTTATAACCATCAGGTCAATACCAATGGGGCCCTTTCATTCTTAGGCCCCGTCTCTACGTATACACCGCAAGCCTTCCCGCTGGGTTCCAACCGGAGGCTCATCGCCCCATTCTGGGCAGACGTGGACACGACAGAAAACCACGGAAGAGTCTTCTACCGGCAGACGACAAATTTATCCATACTGAACAGAGCTACGAGTGACATTAGAGCGGCGTTCGTGTCACAGTCCAAGTTCACGGCTTCCTGGGCCTTCGTCTGCACCTATGATGACGTCACCTACTATGGCGGGAGCTACTGGACTAATGTCAGTGTATTCCTTTATTTCATTTTAATGGTATATTTTTGAGATGAAAATTATATAATAGATAGAAAGATAGATACTGTTTAGGAACAGATAGATTTTTGTTTGTACCTTAGTCTATGCGGTTGGTGAGATTTCGACAAGCAAAAAATATTTAGAGATAATATACATGTAGGTTTTTATTTGAAATATGCTTGGAAAGTGGCCTTTATAATAATAATTATACTCGACGCATAGAATCCACATTTGAAAAACAAAAATTCAAGAGTCAAGAACACATTTGGCACCATGTCTCATTCATCAATTCTGAGAGTGATTTTCACCATTGGCGGATACAGTGTACATGTACAAGAGGATACGGTGCATGTACAAAGCCCCTTTTCTATCATTCAAATAGTATTATACATTTAACACAATTCTTCGAAAATGGAAGGGAGAAATGACTGACCCGTGGCCTACAAAATATTTTCACAATGCCCCAATTTGAAACATATCTCTCCCGATATTCTACACAGCGAGTAATTAAGGTGGGCACGGAAATCCTGCTCCCGGACAGAAAAAAAACGTTAAGACATAACGTGTTTTTTATTTGAAATATAGCGTAATTGGAAGATGGCCCAAATTATATTTGACCTTCCTATGTAATCCACATAACCGAAATATGGTAGTGCTAGCTAGAGTTTTTAAACCGCACCTGCACATATTCAAACACGTTTTCAGACAAACACGTTCCAAGTGGTTTTGGTCACCAATGGCCGCCAATCGTTTGCCATATTTAACTACAAAGAAGTGACGTGGACCACAGGGTCAGGCAGTGGTGGCAGCAATGGGCTGGGAGGAATACCGGCACAGGTTGGAGCATTGTTTAATATTGGTTAATGTTATTAAATGAGCAATATATACCAATGCCAATTACAATGGTAATAATGCTGTTTAATTCAGTCATGACACACAACCTTCCCAACGATGCTCTCAAATAGTTGTCCAAATCAAGGACACGAAGGTGCACAAGGTCTTTAATGCCGGGTAATCCTCTTCCGCCCTTTGTATGATCATCAATTTACTTATTTTTTCTATTTTACAAGTACTATATTATTAATATTATTATTGTTGTTGTCGTTGTTGTTGTTGTTGATGATGATGATGTTGTTGGTGTTGTTGAATGGATTCTTCAATTCAGTATATTTTAGAAGAGACCATTGCGATATTAGATAGTAGTTCTGACGCTGGTTATACATGTAAGACTTGTGTTTTGTACCTCGTTTTGAGGTTCTTCAAATCGAGGCTTGATACAAGATCTTTTTCCTTCAGGTCGGTTTTAATGCAGGCGACGGTTTTAGGTATTTCTCAGTGCCCGGATCAAGAACGTCCGCTATCGTCGACATAGAAACCACCACCAACGTCAACGTTCCCGGACGGTGGATATTCCGAGTAGACGACATCGGTGTTGAAGCCGGTGGCTGCAATGTGGGGGGTAGGTCAACGGCTGACAGTTTATCGTTTTTTTTAAATTGATTTCCATGTTGCAGCTTTTGAAACTGATAAACTTGTCTTAATTTAAGTAATTTATTTCATTTTTTGTCATAATAGTCGGTTAAATGTTTGCATCTTTCGCCTTTTGGATTATTTTCTCCACATCTTGTTAGGATTTGTAATAAAATATTTGAGGTATTTACAAGCAAAACGTGTTCTTACAGTCAGACTATCCTTATCATAAGACTCAAGGATTACTTGAATTTCGATATTACTAGTAAATTAAGCGGTGGTTATGTGACTTTTTTGCCGGAGTAAAATTTTGTAATTACATTGAGCTCATACATTTTCAGTTAAACTACGAATCTCCCCTGTCAAAGGAAACGCGTTAGGAGGTACCGAGATCCTAATCTCTGGTCCATGCTTTTTTAACTCCACGGGCCAGTTTCTGTGCAAGTTTGATGACATTGTTGTCCCAGGTCACTTTGTCAACACACTGAGGATCGCCTGCTACTCGCCGCCATTGTTTAAGGCGGGCAACGCGGAGGTGTCATTGCACGTTTCCCAAAACGGTGGGCAGAATTTTAGTGAAGGAAGCGCATTTGTTCCAGGTAACGTCAGTTTTACTTTGTCTTTATTAAAATGAGAATATTTTTCCGGATTGCTAACACGTGGGCAGTTTGATTATACATTGTTTTATAAAATCTGCAAAATAAATTTGAAGAAAGCAACTTGATGCAATAACCATTTCTTGCCTGTACATGTCAACGGTTCTGACGTTAAGTATAAAAACAGTATAAAATATAACAATAGGTACACTATATACATTTTGTTGGGAACCCACAAAAGTATTTATTTGCAAACTCTAGTTCTTTAAGGTAATCTGTGTCTTTTGTGTAGAATTCGTATGTTAAAGTATCTGTTTCAATGTGCAAAAGACGTCATCGCTACTTGAAAGTACAATTTATATTCATAAATGAATAAAATGGTTATATTAAAAGAAAGTGTAATAAATAAAGGCACGCCGCAAAATTGAAAATTTTTGATCAAACATGCACATGCTGTAGGGATTTAAAGAAATGGATCTATGTTAAGAGTGGTGTTTTATACTATTTTTCGAGACATGGATGCCATAAATGATCCTAAAATTGTGCGAGTTGACGAAGAAAAGTGGGACAAGGGACCCTATGTTATCCAGTGGGACCCGGCAGAACTTGTAGCATCGACCTTGGACCTGGACCTGCTTTCTTTCAGGTTTTATTTATTTATTTATTTATTTATTTATAATCTTATTTATAATTTAATTCAAAGTAATTAACACATTTGATTTTGTTGGGGAAATGAGTTTTATATACATAAACGAGGAATTGAAGATCGCAAAAACTCTTTTATTGTGAAGGTGGAACTTCGCTGCTACGAAATGTTCTATTATTCCTCTTAATGGCCTTTCCATTAAATGCACAAGGGCAATTTCTTTTTTTCCATTCACACTTTTTAAAAGGGATAATTTAAACTATGTACATAATAGTGTATTTTTTAAAGCTTATAATATATATTTTAATCCCTCCTTTAACACGTTGTTTACTTTATATAAGGCATTCAAGCTGGAAAATGTATCTTGATTTTGGTAGATGAAATTGTTTGACTAAATGTAATATTTCAGTGATGAAAATCTGGAACTCGATGAAAAGTGGATCAATATTGCCACCAATATATCGAACAATGGTACTGTAGAGTTAGACGACCTCCTCAACAGGAAAGGAAACTTTGGTGACGTAGCGGCATTCGGAGCTATTCGGTTAACTCCGGCAGGTTCCGCTTCAGGCTCAAACTACACGTGGGTTGCATGTTTTATCAATTTCCGTTCAACATGTACCATAATACAAAATATGCAACGCGTGCTTGACTATTCGCTCTCTCTCATCCCTAGCTCTAAAAAGTGTTATAATTCAAAAATTGCTTTAACTTCTACTAATTTTATAATTATTTTCCACTAAATCTATGGAATGTATTCTTTGTTTGAGTTATAAAGATAATACCTGACCTTAACATTTTTCTCTATGTACATAACAGGGCAGCTGCCATATGGTCTGGTATCCATGTACTACAGTGGTACATAAATGCCTACATAGCAACCAAAATAAAGCAAGGCCCACAGAACCAGCGTAAAAGAAGTATCTTCGACGGTCTAGCAGCAGCCGTGGACTCCGCGAAAGACATGATAACCCAAGGGGCACAAAAAGCATGGGCAGACGTTAAAAACGAAGTGGCGGAGAGGTTCAGGGATGTGAATGAAAAGATGTGTCAGTCTTGGTTCGACAGGGATTCCGAGGAGCCGTTGCCTACAGATCTTCCGCCGTGCCCCGGTAGGTTTCGCCAGGCCAGCAGAGACCGCGGTACCTTCTCGGAGGACCCCGCCTGTAGGAGGGGAGATCCAGATAGCTGTAGCTATCATCCTGGGGCGTCAACTTGTTTTCGTTCAAACGTTTGTAGGTATGGATGGTTTTGTGTTTATGGCGGTTTCTTTCCTGCAGTGCTCTGTTAAGAGAGGTGTTCTCCCCAGTGTTCCCTACCATGTAATTGATCCCAAATAATAAGCAAACGAAGTGTGTGAAAGGCAGCGTTTCACCAATGTAAATTCTGTGCCCTGTACACCCGTCATTTTTTTTTTTAATTAACACAGGCTTTGTTTTAAATATCTGTTTTCGATTAAAGAAAGGGTTATCTGGATAAAATGTAAATTTAGGCCTAATAGTATTTTTTCTTAAAATTTCGACTCAAATTGTCTTTTTTAATTAACGCCTTAGTCGCTCTGGCGGCGGTCAGCAATGCTGCTACAGCAGTAGAGGATCTTTGCTCAACGTCGCCGATGGTCAACTGGGCGGTGGAACACTGGACAGAGCCCACTACAAGGGCTGTTTCAACGGTGGGACGCTAGTCCTACCGTACGTCGGCCATTTTTACCATGACGTCCTACCGTATTATTACTGTTGCAAGAACTCAGGAGATAAACAACTGTGTCAGGACACATACATGAAGAGACGACCCTCTGATGATGGAAGTGGATATCGCCCACCAAGACCAGGTGCGTGTTAGATATATAGGTGTAATTGTTGTAACTATATACTTCTGAGAATTTTATTTTCATCAGTAAAATATATTCTCATGCCAATCATCTGTTTGTTTAAAAAAAGTTATTTCACCTGTCTTACTATTTATGTTTGCTCAAAATAGCAAACCAGTACAAGATTTATGATGCTTTAGCAAATTTTTTGTGATGTTTCTCCACTTTAGAGGAAAATTACTTAATTAGAATTTAAAATTATTTTTTCTCTTTACTTCATATTTACTTCTTCCCATGTACTGCATGTACCCTGTATGTACATGTATTAATTTTATATACATCAACACCCACTCTCGCACACATACTTTAATTAATCAACTGATAAATTAATTCAGAAAGTTTCATATCTGGTCAGTGTTTCGTTTGTTATTGATTTTTATTTACTCTAAATCAAGGCATTTAGGTATGGCATAAAATTATGCTTATACAGCTGAAGGTTCTGAGGTACAAATGTATAGGGCCAACTAGTTCGTGTACAACCTAAGATCTGAGTGTAAAGCCTTAATTATTTCCAGCTGTCGGTAACGGCGACCCCCACTTCATCACGTTGGACGGTTTGCGGTACACGTTTAATGGAGCTGGTGAATACACCCTTGTGAAGACCAACGATGGTTCCTTTACCATGCAGGGCAGAGCGGAGACAGTACAAAATGCTGGCGGTAGGGGAATGACGGAATGGAATATTAGTTGTCATTGTCAAAATTTAGGACGAAATAATTGACAGTTAAATTAACATTTATATCACAACCAAACTGTATCATAGTGAAATCCTCAGAATAGATTATTAAATAGTTTCTTAGAAGAAGGATAACGTCCACCCACAGTTTTATTATGAGTATTGCGTAATTCTGAATTATCCATAGGAGGGAGTCCCACCGCCACTGGGTGGACTGCGTTTGCATTCAAAGGATCAAACAGCAGCACAGTGGAAGTCAGGACTAGCTTGCTGAGAGTAATCGACGTGTTAGTTAGCGGAGTCAGAATTGACTTTGATGAACTAGGAGAGAGGGTGACAAATTACGAAGGTAAAGATGAATTGACTTTAAATGTCATTTAATGAAAGCTAGGCGCTTTTAGTACCATTTCTCTATCAATCTCTCTCTATGTATGTCACTCAGTTATTTTATAATAACTTTATGCTTTACAGCTTTATGCTTTATGCCACCTTTCCCAGTATTTTCCATGTACATTCCGTGCAATATCAACTATTCTCAAATTCAAATTGGTCAAATGGCTGTGGATATCAGTGCATGTAATACTGCAGGTATATTTTGTACCGGTACGTACATGTACCTTTGTACTTGTTGGAAAGGATATATATATATATATATATATATATATGTATCTGTCTTGTATCAGATTTATGGGGGAGGACGTCAAAAAGACCAGATGGAGTTTTAATATCGAAAATTAGTTATCAATAATTTTATTTAATTCCAGGTCTTCTTATTGAACGTAACATGAACACGTCCGTCACGGAAGTGGACCTTATCAATGATGGTGTCTCACTCACTATGACATACGTAGCAGGGATTTTTAATTTCATGCTACTCCTACCCGAGTCTATGAAGAGTATGTTTGGTTTAAATCATTAGATAAGTGCGTGCTATTTTGCAAAGTTTCAAAATAACACAAATAACTAAATAGCTTATTGCTGAAGTAGACAATTATTATATGCTCCAATCCAATATATGCAATTAAAATAATACTCTCCTATACCTACAGAGGTTTGCCTCATAAGTTAACCTGTTTTAAAATAATAAATCGAATAATTTCTTTCAATTACAGATAAGACAGAGGGGCTATTGGGTTCCTGGAATGATTATATAGAGGATGATCTGGTGGCGTCCTCCGGCGTCATGTTACAACACAACTCGAGTACCAGAAATATTCACTACAACTTTGGAGAAACATGTAAGACGCGCTTTGAATGTAATAGTTTAAAAACAAACGAAAAAGTGGGGCATTTACAGTGCAGGAAACCTGCATTCTATGTAATTTCGATATGTTAAATTTTTTATGGAGCAACATGAAATCATGAATGGAATCACACACAGAAGCCTCGAGCTCCTATGCTTGTCAAACCTGCCATGTCCATATGTGCATATAATCGAACTTGCTTTCAAACTTCCATTTTGGTTTTCATGTCTTGATTGGGATGATATTCATGAAACATTTGTTACAATACATGCATTACTTTTAGGGAGAACCACTTCTGTGACGTCCTTGTTTACATACGGTGTTGGCACAAGTCATTCCACGTACCAGAATACCCGTTTTGTACCCCTATTCGAGGTACCCCTCTCATCAGCAAACACCACCGAACTCTATCTTATCTGTGGAGACAACGACCAATGTATTTTTGATTACATCTCAACCGGAAACACCGACATTGCCCAAGCGACCAAGAGTACTGTTGAGGACTATCTAACAGCTGTCACTGACACGGAACCAGGTAGGCATCGATCAGTTAAGTTTTATTTAAACTCTCCTGGTTAATAGACTTCGTGTCTGAATATCTCTAAGCATGTGGGTTTGGTAATTTTTAAGTGAGAACTTTACAGCTTACGCCACAAAAAAACTTAATGCTCGTAGTTCAATAAGAAAAATTGCTCACACTGTATACTTGACATTTTTTTACTTAAAAAAATAAAATAATAAAAGATTGCTGATATGACCGTAAAAAAATCAAATAATGTAATAATATATAAATAAGGAATAAAAAAAAAATATAATTGGCATCGGTTTTTGCCAATGGTCAAGGTAGATATTGTTTTACAACACATATCCCAAATATATTCGATAAGCGATTGCCTAGCCATCATGTAACAGTTTAATTTTCTTGGTACCCTAGCAGCAATGTACATAAATGCGGTTTGGGTGACACATTTTGGTAGGGGAATAGATTTTCACGTTCCTCACATGCTGTTTGTTCATGTATTGAATACTGATCATTAAATAATCCACCAGTTGTGTTATGTCCACGACTTGAGACGCCTCCCAATGGCCAGAAGAATGTAACCAGTGGTTACCAAGTTGGAGCTGAAGTGACCTTTGCCTGTGACAACGACTACATTCTACAAGGATCAGCCAATAGAACTTGTCTTTCTAGCGGGCAGTGGAGCGGCGAGAATAGCTCATGTCAATATGTTGGTAAGACAATATGTACACAATATCCTTGGAGCTCTAGTTGATTTCTGGCAATATTTCTTATTTGACGTTTTGTAAGTCAAATAACACGGTGTTAAGTATATTATCTTTTCTAAATATTCTTCCTCTCTTTAACTTTCTTTCTTTATAAATGTGCATATTTTGCCACCTCTCGAAAGTTGCTTTTCCCACATTTGTACCTGTACCCACAAATCGATTTTGTTTTTTGCTTTACTCGTACAACTGACATATCTTGCAGTGATACCTCTCCTATGGGGTATTAAATGTACGCGCTTAAGTTTGCCACCTATATTGGATAGCACTTCCCAAAACGTATTTAATCATCCAACAGTTGTATGTCCGCCACTTGAGACGCCACCCAATGGCCAGAAGAATGTAACCAGTGGTTACCAGGTTGGAGCTGAAGTGACCTTTGCCTGTGACAACGGCTACATTCTACAAGGATCAGCCAATAGAACTTGTCTTTCTAGCGGGCAGTGGAGCGGCGAGAACAGCTCATGTCAATATGTTGGTAAGACAATATGTGCACAATATCATTGGAGCTCTAGTTGTTTTCTGGCAATATATTTTGTTTGACGTTTTGTAAGTCAAATAACATGGTGTTAAATATATTGTCTTTTCTTAATATTCTTCCTCTTTTTTTACTTTCTTTCTTTATAAATGCACATATTTTGCCACCTCTGGTAAGTTGCTGTTCCCACACTTGTACATGTACCCACAAATCAATTTTGTTTTTTGCTTTACTCGTACAACTGACATATCTTCCAGTAATACCTCTCCTATGGGGTTTTTTAATGTACATAGTTTGCCACCTCTATTGGGTAGCACTTCCCAAAACGTATTAAATCATCCAACAGTTGTGCTATGTCCGCCACTTGAGACACCACCAAATGGCCAAAAGAATGTAACCAGTGGTTACCAGGTTAGAGCTGAAGTGACCTTTGCCTGTGACAACGGCTACATTCTACAAGGATCAGCCAATAGAACTTGTCTTTCTAGCGGGCAGTGGAGCGGCGAGAACAGCTCATGTCAATATGTTGGTAAGACAATCTGTACACATTATAATGTACATAGCATGCCACCTCAGTTGGGTTGCTCTTCCCAAAACGGATGCGGGAGTGCAAGTTACGTCAACCGTAATGACACTGGTAGAGAGAACAACTGAAATGTGCATACACAAACTTAACGAGTACATGTACTCATTTAATTTCATGTAACACAACAATTCATTTTTTTTTTTGTTCTTTATTTATACACAAAATTCATCTTGCTGCAATAGTTTTTCTGTGGCGTTTTTAAATTGAAAAAATTAATGTGAAATATATTATTTGTCCGTTCCTGATTTTCTTTTTAATAAGTGTACATTTTCTGCCATTTCTCATAGGTTGCTCTTCCCAAAACGGATGCATGAATGGAAGTGACGTCAACGGCAATGGCACAGGTACGGAGAGCCTTGAAATACAATGCACAAACTTAAACAAGAACATGTAAACCTGTAGCTTCACGTAAACACATCAATACATAAACTTTTTTGTTTTATTTATACAAAAATATATCTAATATATCAGAATATCTCCTTAGTCGTTTTGTAAATCGAAAAACAGGATGTTGAATGTATTATTTGTCTTTTCTTGTTTTTTTATCTTTGTTTATAAATGTACATATTACGCACTTCTCATAGGTTGCTTTTCCCAAAACGGATGCGTGAATGAGAGTGACGTAAATGTTAATGACACAGGTATGTAGACAATTGAAATACACGCGCACAAAGTGAAACAAGAACATCTAAATTTATACTTTCCTGAACACACAGCAATTCTGTTTCTTTATTTATACAACAGATATATATATTGCTGCAATGTTTCTTCTTTGACACTTCTCATTTTCTACCACCTATCCTAGGTTGCTCTTCCCCAAAGGTATCCGTGAATGGAAGTGACACGGGTACGGAGAGAAATTGAAATGCACATGCACAAATCATCAATTCTGTTCCTTTTTTCTCTATTCATACAACAAATATATCCGCATTACATTTTTATAACTAAGTACCCATTTCTTTGATGTTGCAGGGCTCGCCTTACACGTCATAATTCCCATTGCGATTGCGGCAGCGGCATTCTTGGTGGTCATATTAACTGTTGTAGCGGTGTGTAGCTGTAAACGCCGTACTACAGATGTGCCATAACCACCATCCTCCCCAAGCCATCTACCAGTAGCATCCCGACCTTCAGGGCGCCCCGATTCTACACGAATGCCTTGCATGTAACGGATACAGCGAATTCAGTTGCCAATGCAAACTTAATCCCATTATAATACCCCTAGTGGTTAACGCTGTATCTTGTGTTTTTCTTTAGTCAAGTGTTTCAGCTACCAGTATATGCATTTATGTATCCTTATTAACCCAAGCGAAATTATAAGTAATACTCATATTATTATTATTATTATTATTATTATTATTATAAGTCCACTCATATATTCAGGGTTAAATGCCATTAGTGTTAACTTAAATCTTACATATTTATACCAAGTGATAATTTCATTATTCTGGGTAGCATTCAAAATACATCAATATTTGAAGACCACCTTTGTTAGATCGTAGATGGTCGTTTTTCATACGATTTGGCAGATTATGCTGTGTTGCTGGAAATGTTTCTGTGCAACACACGTTTAATGTTTTTTTAATGCGTTTGTCTTAAAAGTATCAAATAAAACCGTATTTAAAACAAATTGAATTTTGATTAAAGATAAGAAAAAACTTATCACTAAATTTATCACTTAATATATCATACAAGTGCTTACCATAGGAACAAAAATCCTAAAACGAAATTTATAGAGAACCGACGGGAAGGGTGGCAAGCAAGAAGCTCCCTTGCTAGGACCATATTAATAAAAGGGATTTCCAAATCGGGAACATACATCCTCCAAATTGAAAGTGGATGTACCCTTAAATGTGCCGTAAACGGATCTAATTTGAAAACGCATGTCACAAATGAATAGGTAGGCCTACTAAAATAAAAAATATGTATGAAAATTTCTCGTTTATACTTTTGTAATCGTACCTTTTTAAAACGCACAAAACGCAATACGCAATTCCATGGTTCGTGTCAGCTTCACATTAAGTCGCTCAAAGAAAACCCAAGGACACATTATGGCCAGTGTAACGCTTTATTTGTTGACGCTCTCTAGCTGCACTGTACATGATCTACGTATAGACTTCAACTATGCCCATGGTTCACGTCCGTTTTCCAAGTACTCTCTGGCAGTCTCCCTAAATCTCTTCCAGATATTACTTCTGAAAGTCTTATATACAAATTTCCTATCAAAGATAGAATCAATGATGCACTGTTTCACGGTGCATACTTATTTTAATTACTCAAATTGCACACGTCCACTTGCATTATATTATTACATGCAAGGCGATAAAACGAGTCGAGTGCACGAGCAAGCGACTCCAATAAAATTTATATATATATATATATATATATATATATATATATATATATATATATATTTGCCACCCTTCCCGTCGGTTCTCTATAAATTTCGTTTTAGGATTTTTGTTCCTATGGTAAGCACTCGTATGATATATTAAGTGATAAATTTAGTGATAAGTTTTTTCTTATCTTTAATCAAAATTCAATTTGTTTTAAATACGGTTTTATTTGATACTTTTATATATATCCTGCCTTGCTTGGATACTCTTGGATACTCTTAGAAATATCTTTCTCAAACGAAGTAAGGAGCATTAAGAAAAATAGAAGTTACAAGGAACGTCTTTTGATTAATAGCGTTGAATCTTAAAATAATAATTATCCACCAAAGGATTGGTCAAAAATTAATTCACAGCTACGTATATTCAGTATTGTGTGTGTCTGCCCCTGCAAACCACACATGCTTCACAAGGCCTCCTCATTGAGATAATCAATGTTTGGAAGGGCTGCTGTGGAACAGAACTCCAATCTTAGATGAGTCATTGCATGAGCAAGCTGGTTGCGTTTATCATTTATTATCATGAAATCATTATCTTAGCCCCCTTAATTTGAAACTTCCTCTAAGCCCATTGCAAGATTCCGCGTTCCGCTCCATGCAGCCGACATTATTCACTGAATTCAATAAGATGGAGGGGCTTAAAGTGTTTAGAGAAGCAGACAAAATTCACCATAAGAACAATTAAACATGTTTGTCTATGATAGTGATTAACAGAAAATTGAAGACGGTTTCCCTTGGGTTTGATTTAAACGATTATTCTAATATTGATTTGAGGCATGATTTATAAAGTGTAGTTTTTAGCAAATATGTTCTAGCTATTGTGTCCTCATTCCGAATTCATAAAAATGGCTTAATAAGGCAAAAGCACTTACAGTAGCACCATTTCTTGACCTATTTTGCAACAGATGTATATGGAAAATTTATCAAAATAACAAATAGGATTTAAATGTAAACAGTCACTTGATTTTTGTGCTTCCTGCACACTTTGCAACATTTCCTGTCCCTTACAGGGTTTGCTATCTATAGTGTTTCTTGGTACTGGGAGGCGATTTGAGAATTTTTCTGTTCCCCGAAGGATTTGTGACATTCAAGGGGAGTGCCTGGAACGTCTTTCAACTACCAATTACTTCATTGTATTACATGCAAAAATAAATTTCCTTAAAATATTGTTTACGTTAAAACAGTATATTTCTATGTAAAATTCTGCATGCCTGCAAACCATAAAAATACACGAGTTCCCAACTTTTTACGTCATTCACTACGATCTACCATCTGAAGTATTAGAACATTTAATTTGCATGACTATTTACCCCCCGTGTTAAATCTGTAATCTGTAATAGATTACCTTTCCTTGTTTTCATCTGTTGTTCAGCTTAAAGCAGCAGTCGATATGGCATCTTATGCAATTTTTTTCATAAACATCTTACCGCCATTTATTGTATGGCGTGCTATCAACTATAAAGGTTTGTAAAGAGCGTGCAAACTGGATATTGGAAAGGGTGCAGTGGTAGCTTGCGGTCTTTACAATGGGTTCACCATTGCGAAGTAAGCTCTGGCAATTTAAATTATTTTTTCTGTGTCTGCGAGGAGTGTTAGGCGTGGACACACACGACTATTCGAATGGACGGTCCAAAGTGTTAGTCAACCAAACCGTCCCCGGTGCTCCGATCTCGCCTGGCTCTGTTTTAACTCACCGTCATTCAGCGAAAAATTCCATTCAGAATGACTGCAACAGAGATTCACCGTTACACTTTCAGCCCACCTCAACAAGAGCCAGTTTCACCAATTTTTCTTCTGGCGTAGATAACAGCGATGTGACAAAACCGGTAACAGTAGTCCTGCGTAAGAAAGTGTCCACTGGCGAGAGAAATTTACCTTGGAATGCAAGAACAGCTCTCTTTCCGTTCGCTACGATAAGAGAGACAAGAAGAGATCGAGGGAAAAGAGATCTGTCTGGCATAACTTTCACATCGGACCAAACAACATCTGGCGAATCTACATCGACTTCATGGAATAGCTCGTCCTTTCCTCTTAACTTGCCCAACAAGTTTTGTGCAGGTAGGTTAGTTGTTCAAACATGGTGCTACTGCGACGAATTTTGCATTTTGTTTCAAGATTGTTGTTTTGACTGCAAAAAGCCTTTGCCATCGGCGGGAGCGCGCGTAAACCCAAGTAACATTGAATGCCTCTTGCAGTCTACAGCACTTTTCAGAGGACTTCAGAGCCAACACTTCTGGATGGTGACTTCATGCCCAGAGGAATGGCCCTATGACACCGTTCGATCTAAATGTGAAGGGCCGCGAAACACCAGCGAAATTGACCGCCTTGTTCCCGTGTCCGACTTAGCAACTAACTTGACATTTCATAACAAACACTGTGCCATTTGCCATGGTATATCAACTGTCCAACAATGGGATTTTTACGTAACATGTGCTAGCAGGTTTTCATTTGGTGTTGATTTGTTTTTCAACTTCACACACCATGAGGATGTCGTAGAACAGGCCAGAAGAACGGAAGGGTGTGCCTTGTTATTTGATCCTCCGACCAACACTCCAGGCAGGATATGTATTCCATCTGACCACATGCCAATTGTTTCAACATCAAGTGGACGCGTCGAGACTCCTCAGTGTGGCCTAGACGCCGACCCAGAGCACAAGAAGCTTTGTTCGTCAGGACCGATATCCATTACGCGATTTCCGATTTGGTCATCAGACTATTATGGAAGAAATATCTTCTGCTGGCTTTGTAGACTGCCAAAGGGTTTTGAGCTGGACATTACACCCTGTTCTGACTCAGGTAAGTTCCAGTTTTTGTCGAAAAAGTAAGAAGTGTAAACGCACGTGCTTCAAATAATGAAAAAATGAGTACTAGTAAGTTATTTTGGCGGATGTATATGTGACGAAGTTAATTATTGAAAAGTAAATAAAATTCAAAATAATAAAATTAAATCCAATGGAAATCAAAATAAAAGTAATAGACAGGCAGTGGTATTAAGAGTGAGCCGCTCCTTTAAAGCTATAACTTTAATCATAGAAAGGGTTTGTATTCAACTGATTGCGTCTAAGTTACGTGTTTACGTGTCTTGCTGCCTGCGTCACTTTATAAAGGCTCACCGTGGGAAGCCCAGTTCTTTTATTCAGTTTGTTTCCTGATGATATAATTAATAGTTTCTCGCCCAAAGATTATTACGTACATGTAATGCATCCACCATTCGTACATTTTATGTACAGACACAGCCATGTCCGTACATATTGCGTCTGTCGTCGCCGTCGTCGCCGTCACCCTGCACTTCCACCAATAACACGTTAAGTGGAAAACCATTTTACCTTTTGTCTTTAAACTGATAGAACTGATGAATACTCATAAAATACAGGTCGAGTTTGAAAATTAGCATGAACGGGACATTAATTTTTAAAAGTTATGTTTTTTCCGCTTTTTCAGCATATGTGCAACACCCATAACACATTTCAAGTAAAACCGATAGGCCTATTGTCTTGAAACCCATAGGAGCAATCTTACCAAAATACAGGTCGAGTTAAAAAACAGCTGGATCGGATCATTTTTATAACAGTTATGCTGTTCTTTCACTTTTTGCTGCATATTTTATCCACTGACATATAGAAAACCGTGTCATGTTTTGTTGTAAAACTTGCCAGACAGATTGATGGGACTAATATACAGATGGATTTTGAAAATAAGCTTGATCGGTTCAATTTTGATAAAGATATGCCATTTTTTTATAAAAATGTTTTTTCGTCAGATTCTATTCTTAGGCATTTAAACATTCTCATTCTCATTATTCAAGTAATGCTTTCTGTCTGTACATTTGACAGCTTTACTTCCTTGTTGAAACTTTACCAGGAAAGAAATTCTGCAGGAATTACAGCGACATTAATGAATGTGGGTCAAATT